ATTACAATGCATCTTATTCCTTTAATTTCAGCCCATATGTGACAACACATCGTAATGAATAAACCCTATGTTTATTCCAGAACTAAGGATAATTGTTATTCTCATAAACAACTGAATGTGTACACCAGAAATTGAGAATAGCATTACAATTGAATAAGAGTTTCAAACAACAAAAGTCGTCTGTACGACAATAAATCATATTATGGGAACTATTCCCATACTAGCCACATGATCCTTATACTTCATTGGTGGCATGCCTTTAGTTAAAGGATCAGCTATCATCAATTTAGTGCGAATGTGTTCAATGACCACTTTATTCTCCTTAACACGTTCTTTTATGGCTAAATACTTAATGTCGATGTGCTTACTTCGACTGCCACTTCTGGCATTTTTAGTCGTAAAAACCGCAGCGGAATTGTCACAATATATTCTTAATGGCCTAGAAATAGAATCAGCAATTCTAAGCCCTGAAATGAAACTCTTCAACCATACACCATGCGAGGTAACCTCAAAACAAGAAACGAACTCAGCCTCCATAGTGGAAGTAGCAGTCAAAGTCTGCTTCGCACTCCTCCATGACACGGCTCCGCCAGCTAACATAAAAATGTATCATGATGTTGATTTTAGAGAATCAACGCAACCAGCGTAATCGACATCCGAATAACCAACTACTTCCAAGTTGTCCATCCGTCTATACATAAGCATGTAGCCTTTAGTACCTTGAAGATATCTCATCACTTTCTTTGCAGCTTTCCAGTGATCTATCCCTAGATTACTCTGATATCTTTCCAACATTCCTACAGCAAAAGCAATGTCAGGTCGAGTGCAAACCTGAGCATACATCAAGCTTCCGACAGCAGAAGCATATGGGATGTTCTTCATTTGTTTCCTTTCTAGATCGTTCTTCGGGCACTGGTTCAAATTGAACCTATCACCCTTCACAATGGGTGCTATACTTGGTGAATAATCTTTCATCTGAAATCTCTCCAAGACCTTATTGATATAGGTTTCTTGAGATAGTCCTAAAATTCCTCGAGTTCTATCTCTATGGATCTTAATGCCAATGACATAAGATGCCTCACCCATATCTTTCATGTCAAAACTCTTAGAGAGGAATTGTTTCACCCCATGCAACAACCCCTTATCATTGGTTGCAAGTAGAATATCATCCACATATAGCACAAGAAAACAAATTTTGCTCCCACTGACCTTCTGGTATACGCATTGATCCATGATATTCTCTACAAAGCCGAATGAAGAGATGACATCATGGAATCTTAAGTACCATTGGCGGGATGCTTGTTTCAAGCCATATATAGATTTCTTAAGCTTGCACACCAAATGCTCACCTTTACTAGAGAAGAATCCTTCAGGTTGTTTCATGTAAACCTCCTCCTCTAGTTCCCCATTGAGGAATGCCGTTTTCACATCCATTTGATGTAATTCCATATCAAAATGGGCAACCAATGCCAAAATAATACGAAGAGAATCTTTCTTAGATACAGGAGAAAATGTCTCCGTGTAATCGATTCCTTCTTTTTGAGTGAATCCTTTGGCAACAAGTCTAGTTTTATATCTCTCAATGTTGCCCAATGAGTCCTTCTTAGTTTTGAAGACCCATTTACAACCAATGGCCTTCGCATCATTAGGCAACTCAACTAAATCCCAGACTTCGTTTGATGCCATAGAACTCATCTCATCCTTCATGGCATTGTACCACAAATTGGATTCATCACTATTCATGGCTTATGAAAACGTTTCAGGATCATTCTCAGCTCCAATATTATAGTCAGACTCTTGTAGATACACAATATAATCACTAGGAATTGCTGATTTCCTCATTCTAGTAGATCTTCTTAATGTTGTATCAACATTCTCTGGAGGAGCGTGTTGTTCAACTGGTTGTTCAACAGCTTCCGGTAATTGTTGAATAACTGGATCTACCGGATCATTATCAGCAAGTATGTAAGACTAAAATTGAAGGATTCTAATCATGCATAGAAGAATAAAATTTAAGCACAATTAGAATCAAATGCGGAAAACAGGATCGAAAATAAACTGACCTCCAGCCATTGTTTAACTTTACGTTCGTCGGAAATCCACGGTAGTTCGACGTCAATTCGACAGCGATTACGGCCGCACTCTACTAACCCAATCCCCTCGCGTATTGATGGTGTATTACTGAATGAGAGGGTTTGCGTTAGACCTTGTGTCTGCCCTTATGGAATGAACGTTCGTCATTTTAAACCGCTTCCCATCAAGGCGGTTACCGAAGAGGGCGGTTGTCACCGAAGGGGTACGAAGCGTGGAAAAACCGTATGTGGATAACAGTCACTTAAAAGAGAAAACGTGGGTCAAACCCAATGGATAAGTTTTTATTTCAAAAACTATATCCCTAAATGTGGGATCACATTATAAATATAACATTCTCCCACTTGATCCCAATATTGTCATCATACGGATTACCCAACCAAATCCACGAAAACCTTATGCTTAAGAAAAGAAACAAGACACATGAATCATGGCGACATGTCCTCTAAGAGCAAGTAATATCTTCCATGTATTACAATGCATCTTATTCCTTTAATGTCAGCCCATATGTGACAACACATCTTAATGAATAAACCCTATGTTTATTCCAGAACCAAGGATAATTGTTATTCTCATAAACAACTGAATGTGTACACCAGAAATTGAGAATAACATTACAATTGAATAAGAGTTTCAAACAACAAAAGTCGTCCGTACGACAATAAATCACATTATGGGAACTATTCCCATACTAGCCACATGATCCTTATACTTCATTGGTGGCATGCATTTAGTTAAAGGATCAGCTATCATCAATTTAGTGCGAACGTGTTCAATGACCACTTTATTCTCCTTAACACGTTCCTTTATGGCTAAATATTTAATGTCGATGTGCTTACTTCGACTGCCACTTCTAGCATTTTTAGCCGTAAAAACCGCAGCTGAATTGTCACAATATATTCTTAATGGCCTAGAAATAGAATCAACAATTCTAAGCCCTGAAATGAAACTCTTCAACCATACACCATGCGAGGTAGTCTCAAAACAAGAAACGAACTCAGCCTTCATAGTGGAAGTAGCAGTCAAAGTCTGCTTCGCACTCCTCCATGATACGGCTCCGCCAGCTAACATAAAAATGTATCCTGATGTTGATTTTATTTCTAGGCCATTAAGAATATATTGTGACAATTCAGCTGCGGTTTAGCCGGCTGAACTGAAGGGGCGTTATGAACAACAACCAACCTAATACTTGAAGTGGAAGGTTGAGTATCTGAATGATCTTTCTCAGGAACAGTGTCCTTCAATCGATCACTCCCACTAATCAAGTCACTTTCAAGAAACTTAGCATTTCTTGATTCCACAATCCTAGTAGTGTGAGATGGACAATAAAACCTGTATCCCTTGGACTTTTCGGCATATCCAATAAAATACCCACTTACAGTCCTTAGGTCCAACTTCCTTTCCTGTGGATTATAGACTCTTACTTCAGACGGGCATCCCCAAACGCGTACATGTCTCAAACTTGGTTTCCAACCTTTGAATAACTCAAAAGGCGTCTTTGGGACAGCCTTGGTTGGAACTCGATTTAATATGTACACTGCCGTCTTAAGAGCTTCAGTCCACAAGGACTTAGGAAGTTTGGAGCTACTAAGCATACTCCGCACCATGTCCAATAAAGTTCAGTTTCTTCTTTCTGCTACACCATTTTGGTCCGGAGAACCTGGCATAGTGTATTGGGCAACTATCCCATTCTCTTGAAGAAACTTTGCAAACGGACCAGGTGCTTGTCCATCTTCAGTGTATCTACCATAAAATTCTCCACCTCTGTCTGATCTCACGATCTTAATTTGTTTGCCGCATTGTTTCTCTACTTCCGCCTTAAAAACCTTAAAGGCATCCAACGCTTCATGCTTATTATGAAGCAAGTAGAGATACATGTAACGTGAGTAATCATCAATGAAGGAGATGAAATATTTCTGACCATACGAGTCCATATTAGGACTACAAATGTCCGTATGTATGATTTCTAATATGTCTGTACTCCTCTTGGCACCTTTCTTTATCTTGTTGGTCTGCTTTCCCTTTATGCAATCCACGCAAGTATCATAATCAGTAAAATCCAAAGTACCGAGTACTCCATCATTTACTAATCGCTTAATTCTATCTATGGAGATATGTCCCAATATCCGATGCCACAACATAAAGGAATCTTCATTCACAACACATCGTTTTATACCAGCATTATCATGAACATGCATCGCATTATAATAGGCATTGTCTTGTAAATTAATTCGAAAAAGACCATCAGACAAAATACTACTCCCAACAATTTCAGATTTAAACAATAAACTGAAGTTTGAATCTGAAAAGTTAAAAGAGTAACCCAAAGGTACAAGTCTTGAAATTGAAATTAAGTTTCTAGAGAAACTTGGAATGTAAAAGGTCCTTTTCAAATTCAAAACAAAGTCACTATTGAGAACTAATCTACATGTCCCAATAGCTTCTACATGTGAACGCATCTTGTTTCCCGAATAGATGCTTTGTTCACTTCCCACTGGCTTCCTGTGGTTTTGAAAACCCTGCAAGGAATTCGAAATATGGATTGTAGAACCAGAATCAATCCACCAAGTGTTGTAACTCACATCAGCCATATTAGATTCATAACAAACATAAGAGGTTGGATTACCTTTCTTCTCGAGCCAGGCGTTAAATCTGACGCAATCCTTCTTCATATGCCCCTTCGTTCTACAGAAGAAACATTTGGATTCCTTCTTAATGTCAGCTTGGGGAGGTATTTTACCTTTCTCCTTCTGCTTGCCGTGACTCTTATTCCTTTCTTGTGTTGCCAATTGAGCACTTTCTCCCAATTCCATAATCAGCCTCTCTTCTTCTTGAACACACGTGGTCATAAGTTCATTAATTGACTATTTATTCTTATGTGTGTTGTAGGAGATCTTGAAAGATGCATACTATTGTGGGAGAGTGTTCAGAATGTAGTACACAAGAAATGATTCAGATATCTCAACCTCAGGGTTTTTCAGCTGAGCTGCAATGTCCCTCATCTTCATGATGTGCTCACGCACACCTCTAACACTTGTGAGCTTTAGAGATGAAAACTTCATTATCAGGGTCATGGCATGTGCCTTTTCTGAAGTCTCAAACTGTGCATCAATGGCCTCCAATAAAGCCTTAGCATTGCTATGCTGAGTGACTGAACCACGGATATTAGGAGATACTTTAGTCCTTATTAACATCACACTAAGGTGGTTGGACCGCTCCCACTGTTCATAAAGGGCTATCTCAATTGCAATGCTCATGTCAGTAGGAGCAGGTGGTTCGTCTTTCCTTATAGCATAGTCAATGTCCATGCACCCCAATTGAAGAAGAATTGACTCCTTCCAAACTTTATAGTTTTCACCATTCAGTATTGGAACATCACTCTTAAATTCAGAGAAATTCACAGGTTGCAAAACTGCATATCAAATAATCATGCTTATGTCACAAAACTTGAGGCAAAATCAACATATATCATGTTCTACCAATGTAAGACATGTCACAAAATATGAATCACATAACATAAAAACTGTCTGTGGGCTAAGTTTTTAATTTAAATAGATTCATAAATACTTCATGAAGAAACTATCATATTATATCCCTTCCTTAATCCCTGTGGGTAAATTAAGAAAAATAATATGATATTTCCACCTAATTAATCAAATTAATATAATGAAAATTCCTGTGGGATAAAATTCATCATATTAATAAGATTAATTACAATCAATGTCCATTTCTAAATGTGATCCGAATGCTCTTAATATATAATTTAATTAATTAAAGATGTTGTGGCTACTCCCCAATTAATTAAAATATATGGATCACTGGACATTTAATTTCATGCATAAAAATATTCATAAAAATGCATGAAGGACAAAACAATAAATTTAATTCGGCAAGGGGCAGAATGGTAATAACGGGTAAAAAGCAGGGGCAAAAGAGTAAAACGAACGGGCGCCGGTTCCAGGGCGCATGAGAGGCACGCGCCTGCCCTATGCGCAGGCGCGTGGCGCGCACGCGCCTTCTTTACCGGGCGGGCGCGTGCAGCGCATGCGCCTGCAACTGCCGCGCGCGTGGCGACCACGCGCCAGCGGTTGTGCGCGCATGGGGCCATGCACCTTCTTCCTCCGCGCAAACATAAGCTTTTTCTCGCCGTTTTTTTTTTCGCCGTTCCACCACGCTTTCGACCGAATGGGTCTCCTCGGGCAGCCCATCTCACACCAAAATAATTTATGGGTTTCGGAGACCACGTCGGCGCGACCACATGGACCCAAAAATCGGCGAAAACAACCAAGAAATTGACTCGAATCAAGCAAAATTCCGTCAAAACGCACAAACCCTAACCCGCAACTTCCGCCGCTCAAACAGTCTCCGGCGATCACCGATATGCCAGATTAACTTAGGGCTATTCTTCTCCATGGCGGTGCGACCGTGCCGATCCGAAGTCGAGCGGTGGGTCGCCGCAATTTGGCCGGAATAGGCGATTTCCCTCTTAGCCCCAAAAAATGCACTCAAAATTCAACAAAAACAAGGCAGAGGCACTAAACATGCTCTGATACCAAATGTAAGACTACAACTGAAGGATCTAATCATGCATAGAAGAACAAAATTCAAGCACAATTAAAATCAAATGCAGAAAACAAGATCGAAAAATAAACTGACCTCCAGCCATTGTTCAACTTTACGTTCGTCGGAATTTAACGGTAGTTCAACGTCAATTCGACAGCGATCACGGGTGCACTCTACTAACCCAATCCCCTCGCGTATTGATGGTGTATTACCGAATGAGAGGGTTTGCGTTAGACCTTGTGTCTACCCTTATGGAATGAACGTTCATCTTTATAAACTGCTTCCCATCAAGGCGGTTACCGAAGAGGGCGGTTGTCACCGAAGGGGTATGAACAGTGGAAAAACCGCATGTGGATAACCGTCACTTAAAAGAGAAAACGTGGGTCAAACCCAATGGATAAGTTTTTATTTCAAAAACTATATCCCTAAATGTGGGATCACACTATAAATATAATATTTTATTCTTTGGGCCAAAATTAAATTACTATTAGTGGTTTTATTATTACTATTGTCATTGTGTAAAAATCCTAATGTATTTGTCTCGTATTAAGTAGCTCTGTTGTCCATTTTTTCCTGGCAAAAGAGATTGTCATGACACAATCCAAACTAAGCTCTCAAGTAACCACGACATTATGGTGCATGGATTAACTCTTTGATTCACTAACCACTTCTTTCGGCGTAAAAATTGAAATTTCCTACAATTCGGACACAGGAAAGGTTTAAAGGAAAAGGTAACAAGCAAAATGGCAACTATTCGTATTCACATGGTTTTTGTGAAAAGAAAGAAAAGAAGACGGGCTCTTTGGGATGCAGGGGGCTACAAGTTATTTTTATTACAGATACAGAAGCTGCGCAAAGAAAATAAGTTCAGGATCTAGCAACTATTGATTGATCTTGAGTGTACTGATAAAGCTCCTGCCCTCTCCAATGTCCTGGGTAGCTAGAAAGTTCAGAAAATCCCTGAAGCTACTTCCCCGGTACTTTTTCCCCTGCGCGCCCACGAGTTCCAAGCTAGCAATGGAAAACCGGGTCCTCTCAGAATTGAGGACCGCTCTGTGGACGACGCTCTTGTACAGGCCGTTGCTCAGGGCCTCAAGATGGTCACCTACGTGGACTTGTAAGGCGCCAGGAATTTTAGGGACCGACTTCCAGGTGCAGTCCACGGGGTCCATGATCTGAAGTCCAGGGGAGCTTTGGAGAACAATGGTCAAACAAGTGTGGTCATAGTGGGGTGGTTGTCCTAGCGCCATCTCCGGATTCGGGCATGGTGGGTAGCAGTTGACCGCCATCACTTGCATCCCCGCTTCCATTTTAGAGGTCAGATACAAGGGTCCCAGTCCCAAGCCCTCCATGATGGCCTCCATCAGGTCCACCGTCACTTTCCTTGCTTGGGCACAGAATTTGCCCATCTTCTCCCTAATACAATCATGAGAACCGATATGAGATATGCTTAGAGTCGCGATCTGTTGGCTTGACTCGAAGGCTCAAAAACATGGAACGTTGCATTCTAATAGTTTTGATCGGTATGTCCTGAATGCCTTCAACTGTCCACTACCAGCTTAGGAACTGATGAGGGCAGGGCATGCGTAAATGCATGCATTCGGACTACAATCTAGTGTCGGGCTTCATGCACCTCAATATTCAGTTATATGATGTCAATAGGGTTATTATTTCAAAAAGTTTTGACCTCGCCAAGTTGGACCACTACTCACTCCTCATTATTCTGCTTTGCTTCAACTCTGACGTTATGCTAAATGGTTGGCTTTAAGATTGCGGCTGCGAGTGTGAGTGCGTTTAAGGAATGAGGGTTTAATGAATTGGTTTGTCCAAATGTATGACCCCGTTCACATTCATCAAACCAGAGGTGAAAGCTTGACCCAAAAAAAAAAAAAAAAACCAGAGGTGAAAGAGAGGCTACCGATAATGAGGGGGATTCTCCGGCCATTGACCCATCCAGCGTTCCAGTGGGTGTGCATAATGCTTCAGGAAGACCCTCCAGAACTGTGTCTTGTCGATCCCGTCCTTCAAACTCGTCGCGTATCTCACTGGCTTGTGCACGTCGTTCGACATGTACTTCATCTTCTCTTGGGTTGGCAAGTCGAAAAAGCTGGATGCCGCATGCAGGGCTTCGTCCATCACGGTTTGGCAAATTCCATGGTTCACAATCTGTTTCCGCAGGAAGCATACGTGGCAATTGAGGCGATTCATTGGTCAAGACAATGGGAAAGCACAAATTCTAGTACGGAACAAAATCGTAATGCGACACTAATGGTGCATAAATATAGATATATGTACACATCAGCCTTTCCTGGAAGAAACCGAAGCGACAACAAGCTTTTGCAATGTCCTTGACGACCGCAGACCGTCGTGCAGGATCCTTCCATAGCCCGCCTAGATCGATGAGAGGCACATCGGCCTTATCCGGACATAAGCTAGGGCGATCGCCAAGCGCAACATGGTAAGCGTCCAGCACATATTCAAGACCTTGCTCTTGAGCCGACTGGCCGGTATTCCACGCACTAGAACTCTCATTATCATCCATGATAACTGTCACACCCCGAAACCTACCAGAACGGAGGATGACACGGCCGTCCTTCCACCCAAAGGACGCAGCCTGAAACCACAACCAAAGAATAAATTTTCAAAAGTCCTCACAATATCGCTCTCATTATATTGGCTACTAACAAAGGAACCTGAAAAGATTGGGAAAAGAGAGGAGTGAGCAACCATAACTCAGTAAGTAATGCGTATATCTTCTAAGCAAATCGAGCAGCCATTATGCATATACAGAGCAATACCAGAACTTCGTAACCCAAACTCAAGGTATAAAATACATATCAAATCATATATGAGTTGTTTCATTTCAACAAGTTTTATACAATTCAGAAATACTCATTTAAATCATCATCTCAATTCAAACATCAATAGTCAAGTTCATTGAGACCATTGATCAATCTCAATAACTCACATATCAATGGTTTGTTCCATTGATTAAACTCATCATAAAAGATTTCGTTCGGGGTAGAGGCGCAGCCTCACTGCCATCCCTCAACCCGACCCGATATTATCCTTTTTGAGCTGCAGCAACACTGCCTTCGCTCTCAAAAATTTGCCCTAGCACAGCGAAAAACACATCAATGGTCTATCCATCGACCAATCTATTGCTCAATATCAAACCATGATCACGCATTTCGTCCCGTGATAAGGCGACCAAGATTCCTCCCTTGGCAAGGTCTCCGCCTACTATAAGCTGGTGGCTCGGCCCACAAGGATATCATAGACTAGTATGCGCATACCCACAAGCCCCTTAATAGGCTCACAGCGATATTGAGCATCAAATCATCATCCTCAAATACCAAAAATCCAATTTATAATCAATCTCAGAAAATGGTTTCACAAATCAAAATATATAATGTTTTACCTTGTTCAACGAATAGAATACATTTCACAAACCAATACGTAACCTTCCATAACTCAGCTCATTCACTAGAAATACTTTTCGTAAAGCATTTCTCATATCATTTCATAAACATAATTCACAAATCGATATGTATAATAGTTAATAACATTTTCCATAAAACGTTTCTCAAATCATCTTAAAACTTGTTCCATAAACCAATTCGCAACATAATACACATATATCTGTTAATAATATTTTTCTTAAAACCATTCGCAAATCGTTCGCAATATTAAAATGTAGTAATTGCCCGATCCAGGATTTTATGCAACAAACATGCTTTAGTAATTCGTACGATACTCAAATCCTTATCGCTTTCAAAACATGAGTTTATAAACTCAAAGAAGAGATAGCACCGCTCACTTGGAAATGCCTACGATCAAACGACAAAGATTACTCGATCCATCGAACTCATGATCCTAACAAATAAGGGAGAAACGACGTTAAAATAAAGTAAAACAATATCTCAACTATGACTCGGCTAAACTAGGCTTAGACGCTAACATAACGACTAAAAGGCGCCCACAAATCGCTCACCCAAAGCGATTACTCAAAGCCGTCCGTAACGCGAAGCTTGAACGCGAAACTTGATTGCGCCATAACTTTCTCCACCGAACCCTATTTCAAGGGAGCTTATAGTCAAAAGAAAGCCAATTCAAAGCACTACAAGAACCCCAGCTTGGCCTTCCCAAGATCGAGCCGAAAACCAACGAAAATCAACCTAACAGCCGCTGATTGCGCACTGTTCACCAAGCGCACTTAACTTTAAAAATTCATTTCGGGCAAATGGTAAGTCCAAATCGAGTTCCACCAGATCCCACGACTCCATAACACCCTAAACTACTAATTTTATATATATACGTAGCTCAACCACTCAAAAATTGGATTACGCGGCTTGAATTTCACCAAACTCCGAAATTTGAGTCATAATTCGAAAAATACTCCAATTGAATGAACGAGGAGCTCGAATACTTACCGAACATTGCAATACGAACACGAATCGGCTTGGTGAGACGTCGGTGATGAGAACCCCCTCTTCTTTCTCTTTCCCTTTCCTCTTTCTTTTTCTTCTCTCCTCTTTTTTCTCTGTCTTTAGCCGAGTGATCTCTCGCTCTCCTCACTCTCTCTCTCTCTCTCTCTCCCCTGCTCCTTTTCATAAAGCAATGTCCACTTTCTCTCTCCCTCGCTCCTTTTCATAAAGCAATGTCCACTTTCTTTCTTTTCTTTCACTTTTAATTCCTTTTTCTTTTCTTTTTTTTGTCAAAAAAATCTAAATGATACGATAGGTATGCAAAAACAAGAACAACGCCAGCGAAGCCAAAATGGGTTGGCAATGGGAGAAAATATTAGGTACCTCAGTGATACCAGGTCAGCAAAATATTAATCCACTTAACATACGACACGTGGCGATTTCGGGCCCACATGTCAGATTTCTCTCCCCCTTTGTCTCTCTCCTCTCTCCCCTGCCTCTTCACGACTCCGTTAAAATTTTTGCGGGGGTGAGGGTCGCCCTCGCGGCCTTCGGCGAGGGACCGACCCTCGCTGCCTGAGCAAGGGCTAGCCAGATCCAGAAGCTGCGGAGGGAGGAGACGACATCGGATCCGCAAGGGACCTCGAGGATGCAGGAGCTGTGGGAGGGCTCGGGGTTGCGGGTGATGAAGACGGGGGGCTTGGGCAGGTTCTTGAACCCAGGGGAGCGGCGGACGAGGCGGAGTCCGCGAAGTCGTCGCCGTCGCAACTGTCGTCGTTGGGAGCGCTTTTGTGCAGTAGGAGTTCCTTCAAGAAGAACACCCAACAAAAACCCTCTTCAAAACCCAGGACTCTCTCTGTTTTCTCAGCCTCTGCAACGCACCCAAATCCAACAAATTTCTCCTCTTTATCTCTGGGACACACATGGCTGAGAAAAATGGGATTTTGGAAAGTAGTGAAACTCCCAAAGATCAGAAGAATGCCTTCCCTTTCTTAGCCAACTTTGATTTTAATTTCCCATTTCAATTCCCTGAGAAGGAGCCGAAACCAGTGAAGAAATGAAAAAGAGCAAAATTTTAGCGGAGTCGTGTAGAAGCAGGGGAGAGAGGAGAGAGACAAAGGGGGAGAGAAATCTGACATGTGGGCCCGAAATCGCCACATGTGGCATGTTAAGTGAACTAATATTTTGCTGATCTGATATCACTGAGGTACCTAATATTTTCTCAATGGTAATGGGTCGACCCACATGGAGGGCTCCCTCTCCTTATATAGCAGTTCTCATAGATTGTCTCCGTTCACTCATAATCTTCTGATTGAACATGTCCCTGCTTCTCTAGGATATGGAAAGCGGCGGAGGTACTGGTTCTCTGCACGAGGACCAGAAAGCGCCAGCGGATAGCCTTCAACTTTTTGGAGTTTTAAAACTGCGAAAAAGAAAGCTGTATGTGGTCTCCCATATTGAAACGAAGGCCAGAGCTCGGTGTTTTGTCTTTCCATGGTGCGGGAGAAGAATGTCGTCTTTCCTCGTAAAAATTGCTAATTTCGGAGAGCGTGCATTGATTCGGTACCCGTGTAAATGCGGCTAGGTTCGTGGTTGGTGGGGAATGATAATTATTCCGTTCCAGAAACAATTCTTAGAACAAAAATAAATTTTTTCATTTTTATTCCCATGATAAGTTTCTGAGGAAAAAAATCCGTTTGATAATGATAAAAAATTTCTATTTCTGAAACAGAAACCCGTTTTATAACAATACAAATTTCTATTTCCCAGAACAGAAATCCATTTTTTTAGAAATGATCTCTAAAATGAAAATCAATCAAAACACCAAAATCCTAGTAAAGCCCTAAAGGCTTATTCATTCAAATGATTGTGTTGTTTTTTAGGGTTTTAGGGTTTTTTAGGGATAAAGATCCCTTTTGGGGGTTAAAACCCTTTTAGGGTTTTTTAGGGATTAAAATCCCTTTTAAATCCCTAAATTAAGGAGTCTTAAAAAATATCATTTGGGCACCTCAAAAAATTTAAATTTCACTTAAAGTGGGTAGTCACAGATATTCTAAGCCATTTTGTGAAGTTTTGAAAATTTTGATTTTTTTATTTTTTTTGAAAAAATTCACCAAATTTCCTATTTTCCAAATCTGATTTTTTTATTTTCTGAAAATTTTTATGAATCTTTCTGAATTTTTCAATTTTTATGGATTTTTTGAAAAAAAAAATTGAGATTTTTAGGAATTTTCCAGATTTTCTAATTTTTTTATGAATTTTTTGATTTTTCTAATTTTTTTTAGAATTTTTTTGATTTTCCCGCCCGGAATGAACCAGACCAGATCTGTTCGGATCGGTCTAACCAGGTCAAATCGGGGCCAAATTTAGAAAGAGATGTGTTTTGAAGAGAGAAGACGGGTTTTTTTAGAAATGATTTTTATTTCTAGTCCAAAAATAAAAAACTTACTTTTTTTTTCTGATTTTTGGTCCAGAACCAGTTTTGAAACAAAAAATTATTCCAGAAATATAAAAATGAAATTGCGTTACCAAACGAGTTTCTGTTCCAAACCTATTTTCGGGAACAGAAAATTAATTCTGAATAGAAGTCCCGAAAATAGAATGATTATTATTCGCGCCTTAACCCTCTAGGCTTTACTGTTTGCCCACAATCTTTGGCGGAGGGTCGGCTCCGGTGCTGAGGATGGCGTCTGTAGGGGCAAAGGGACACCTGTGCAAACGTCCATTCCCACCACTAATCAAGCTCGATCATAGAAACACGTGTGGGCGAGTGAAAACTGAGGAGGAGACAGCCAAAAGAAAGAACTTCTTGTCAGAAGAAGATAAATTAGGAAGATATCCTATTATGATGGTGGAAAGCTAATGAATTCCCAAGTGGGTGTTAAATCATATCTTGTGACGGTGAATGAAACGTGGTGTGATGGATAGAACTAATTGTTTGTATTGTAAGATCAGATGGGTTTCTCGTTATTCTTTGCGGTTACTGGGTTTTGGATCTAGGCGATAATTATGGAACCGGTGAAGATTCACCATCCCACCCAAGTCCCGAAGTTTGTCGTCCAAAGCACAAGAGACGACAGTGAACTTTTCCCATCATTTGCGCGGACGATATTGACTAGGGAAGAGGGGGACAAGGAGAGA